GCAATATTTCCATTCAAAATGGCTAATGTTCATGTTTTAAAAAATAATCAGAGATCTGAAAATTCACTTCTGGGGATGGAATAACTTGAAGAAGAAAATATCTACATAATACAAGATTTCAAGTAAAATTGCTTAACATTTCTTTAACTTCTAACTATGCCCAAATGAAGACATTTCTTATACAACAATTAGAAGGCTGCTACATTAAGCAGTGTAACTGGGAACACATGTGAAAAATTATTAAGAGTGATTCTTGATAGTTTTATTCCCTGACAGTTTAGGTACTTAGGTACAAGGTGTTTGTTCCTTTTCTATATTAAAAAAAAAAATCCCTTCAAGATGCCCTTTTATGATTTAACTTTATAAATACAACAAAATAGCTGGAAGAAATTTCTATGCCTGGAAGGTAAGTTAAATGTAAAAAACCATGGTACCCCAAAAGTTGCGGGTATAGCACATAACAAACAACCATACCAAGTAAGGACTTTGTAATAACATGGTAGGTTATGGGTGATTAAAGGATTACTGGATTTACGGTAAAGACTCTTGTTTAAAATCTTCATAAATAAATGGTTTCACAATGAAGCCTTTCTAATGAAGTGTTTATAAACATATATTTATAAAATATACTACATTTCCAGAGGTATAGTTATTGTGCACTAAGCCTTAAACACTTTTATGAGATGGTTTGGGGGACTTTTCCTTTTAAATGAAATGGGTTTAGAAGTAAAAAAATAAAAAATTGATCCCAAGTCTCTTAAAGGCGTGCACAACTTAGGCACAGCAGCTTCCTAAGGCACCTTGACCAGTGTCTGAAATCAAGTATTCATTCACCCATACATACTGAGGGCCTCTTCTATGTGAGGCAGGGTTCTGAGCTCTGATGATGCAGCAGTGAACAAAACCAAGTTCCTGGTCTCACGACCTTTCATGTTAGTGGAGAGCTAATAAGTAGTGAGTGTTTACAATGTACCTGTCACTATTCTAAGCACTTCAGGTGGATTAACCCATTCAGTAGTCACACTGAGTTAGAAACTTCTATTATTTTCATTTTATAGATGAAGAGGCTGAAATACACAGTTTAAGTAACTTTCCCCATTAATCTCTCTTGGATTTCTATTCTCGCCATGATCTCCTCACAAACGAAATTGTATTTTATAGACAGACCCTACCTTTATTCTTTTTTCCTCTCAGCTACCCTAAAACACACACACACACCACACACACACACAACACACAAAACACTATGCCATGGTTTACAAAAGGCAGAAAGGCATGATTAAAAGAATGAAGGGACCGGTCACCCTCCTCACTGGATATGTGACCTTTAGCAATTTACTTCATCTCAGTAAACTTCAGCTTCTTCCTTTGTAAAATAGATAAAAGCACAGCACCTATTATTCATAGGGTTGTTGCAGGGATTAAATGAGAGAGTAAATGTAAGGTGCTTAGCACAGTAACTGGTACAGAACAAGCACTCAATAATATCAATATTGATATTGTTCTGTGTTGTTTATTGTTGAATGGGAATGGAGGCACAAACATTTATTGGATGCCTGCTGATATTTTCCACATAGTAAAAGCATCACATATCATAATTATTGAAAAAACACAATTCAAAGTATAAGACGATGAGTAACAGGTATCTTTATAAAGTATGGGCAGAATATTTTTTCTTACAAAGTCCTCTGCATTCACACTGTACTGGGCTTTTCAGCTAAAGCTAACTTGTCTAATCTAGGTGTTTTATTTTTTTCCAGTATCCTAGTAGACTAATATGCTGTTACTTAGAGATAAAAGCCCAGGTATAATAGTTCTAAACTTGCCATAGGAGCTTAAACAGGGGTTACATTGGCAACATGGCCTCACTGGAACATCAAGTAACAAGGAAAAGTAAATAGGGAGCTACAGTTGATCTCAATCAAAATTATTTGAAGCTTTTGAAGAAACAAGGAAGACTGAAGGAAACAAATGGAAAGATATAGAGAAAAGATTCTAAGTAACCATTTCTTTAAAAACAAAACCACCCACACACACCCCTCAAAAGTAATAAAATCAAGCTACTGTTGCTTACTTCATCTTTACAATGTTTCCCATACTGGTCAGCAGTAATAAGAGCCACCATGCATTGTCTGCTTTCTTTGTGCTGGGCACTGTGCTCTCTGCTTTACGTGCATTGCCTCATTCAAACTTACTACAAGCCTGAGAAATTGTTAGCATTACACTTTGTTGCAGATAAGGAAATCAGGGTTAAAAGCTAGCAGATCGCAGAGACTAGATGAACTGAATTATCTCCTGTAGAAGAGTATCAGTCACATGCTCTTCTGGGTACAGAGAGATAAGGTAATCCACTCATCCTCTTCAACTTTCAGTCATGCTCATTGGTCTTCCTTCCATCAAGGATTATACCTATAATAAAGCTTGCCCCTTTGGAAAAGACAGACAGTGGCTGTCTAGGAAAACTTCAGCTCCTACCGCTCTAAATGATGGTTGTATATGTTGGCCAAATAATTCAGACACTACCACATCCTGCATAGTGGTCCTCCCCTCATCATAATCGAAAGCTGTGCACGCTTTGAGTAGTCCGCTTCATCAGCACACAGTACAAAGCTAAACAAATACTCAATTCCTAAATATGTAGCCACACTTAGCATAAATATATATATTTACAAACTGCGAAAAGGTGAAAAGGAGAGTTCTATAATATTAGCCTGTCAAATGGAAACACAATTTTGTATCTGTGAATTTGTCTACAATACAGCACAAACTATGACCTACATCATACACAGATGCATAATGTATACTTTGTAAATGGAAGAAAAACTCCACTGTAGATTTCAAAGGTTTCACTCTGACCATTTAACACAGGCACCTAGATTTTTACTGTCAGATTTTACCAGTTCAGGCTTTGCAGTCAAATACACCCAGACTTAAACTCAGACTCTAGGTCTTACCATTCACTTGCTGTCAATCTGAGGAGAGTTACCTGCTATAGTTGTTGTTTTCAATTGTAAAATGGAAATAATGCCATCTATCTGACAGGTCCATTGTGAGAATTAACTGAGATCATTTATTTAAACAGCTAAGCATGATACCTGTTACACAGTAAGTGCTCACTAAAACGGCACTTATAATAATAATTATAATTATAGTTTTTGTTATAATTAAGGTCTTCAATTAATACAGTGCCTTTCTTCTCAAAGTGCTCCATATCACCAATTGTGTCCGTGTGTGTGTGTGTGTGTTTGTGTGTGTGTGTGTGTGTCAAACACTATTAGGGCTCAAATATGTGCTCTTCTCTGCACAGGATACTAAACCAAAACATATATTACTAAACTACAATGCATGTTACAGCACGTCAATACAAAATTTACCCAAGTGTTTAGGTATCTGGCAACCCACATAACTATTTTTATTAGAACTTGGAAAAGATAGTAGTTTAAAATACAAGCCCATCCATTTCCTTCTTGTTATGCACAGATGTCAGAACTCTGTAGAGTTCATGCCTTTGCCTCAAAAAATGGCATTCCTAAGAAGCAGTCTCTTTCCAAATCATCACAATCTAGAGTTTGGGGGAAGTCTTTATTTGTGAATTATGACAAGTACTAAGCCCTGTGAGATTCCGAATTAAGATAACCAAGCAAAGGATTACTTTACAACCACTAGAAAAATCTCAAATCATATTGTACTTAAATATAATCAAATTTTAAATGTACATCTTAATCTTGTACTAAATAATGGTACAGTATTCTAGCCTATAAATGAAAATAAAAATGCCTTATGCTTCGTTTTACAATTACATATGTTTTAGATATATTGGTGGACAATCTAATGAAAGAAACAACAAGCATTTTTTCTTTGTTGAGCACTAATTTGAGTACTAATAACAAATTAAATTAGGGTATGGAGCATGTAGAAAAAAATTAACATAGCCCCACTTGGACTGACATTAATTTTGTACGAAGTTAAAATTTTACAGGGTCATAAACTGAAGACTGAAAAAAGTTTATCTTAAACCTCAAAATGTGAAAGGGACTGAGTTTTAAGAGATATTTCTCTTAAATACATTGAAAAATCTAGGGTGCTATTGAACAAGGACAACCTCTTTTGAATTACCAGGCTCCCTATAGTTTACATAATGTCGATAGATTTTTCTAATAAATAAATTGGGCATTAAAGGGAGAATAAAAATAAATTTTGTTTTGTCTGATTAAAAAATATTTTTAACCCTAAGGAGAAAAATGGTCACAATAACCTAATAGTAACCTAGAATAGTAACCTAGAATAGTAACCTAGAATAGAACCTAATAGTAACCTAGAATAGAATAGAATAGAATAGCACCTGAAAATAAATATGTTTTTGAAAATAAATATCTTTATTAAGTTTATTTTAAAGTTACTTGAGGTTTTATGATTGGGTGCTTTGAGTTTTATAAATGAAATAACCCAGCTGGCACATATAACAAAGTTCATTAAAACTAAACATTGAAGTATAAGATACTTTTCAATGCAAAGTGCAGCTAGGTTCTAGATTTGCTGAAATCAAATTGCCACCTGAGAAATGTTAGATGTACTTTGGAATTAACACTGAAAAATACCAAATATCTCGCCTGATAATTTTATCTAAAGTGATTTATTGTAAAACAATAAGAGCTACAAATTCAGACTAGCTTAAAGAGATAACAGCCTAGCGTCTTATTGTCCTCTGCTGCCCAAAAAGTATGCTCTTTTAATACTGTACTTAGCTATAAACCGCACGTTTTTCCTTGGTAAAAAATAAAAAACTTTTCTGGATTATTTAATTGGCTAGTTCTAGGCTTTAAAGAAAAAAACACAATTATTTGTGAAATATAGTGTTACATGACGGAAGAAAAATGAGGAAAAATTATTTGCATCTTCTTCAAGTTAGTCACAATACTTTGAGGCTTCCATTCTCCGCAGTTAGTGCAATTTCTTTTTCTATGTGTCTCGGTAGCAAACAATGTAATTTAGACTCTAACCTGGCACGCTACAACCTCTGGCCCGCCCTTGAGCCCCTCCATTGCAAAGGTCTCCAGGTGCAGTCTGGGTAGCTGCAGGGTGAAGTCATTCCTACTTGCCGCAGTCCGTGACAGCGAGATCTGATCTCTGACCTAAAGGGAAAAAAATAGCATCAATGGTAATTCCCCTTCAGACACATTAACTGGGATGAACTGGGTCCCCTTGAGCCCACTGAGTGGACTTGCATTGATCGCTGGACCTGAAATCCATGAATAAATTTAGGACTAATTGATTTTTCGTTGCAAATAAATCTCTAATTCAGAGTACTGGGGGAGAATGTTAAGAAGAAAAAGCATCCTCCTACTTGAAATGAGGGAGGGAAGGAGAGTCGCTGGAGCTCTTCTGATCAAGAGGTTTTGAATTATTTTTTCACTGTTCCACCCTCAGAAGAAAAAGGAAAGGAAAAAACATCTACAAAATCAAAAATAAACAGCAATCTCCTATTTATTCTCACTTTCTTAATAACATGTTTAATTTAACTGGTGTTAACTGATATATATTAAACAAGATAGTTATTAGGTACTAGTCTTTGAAAAGAAAACTTCAATATGTACTCTAGAATAAAAACAAATATGCTCAACACACAAGGAGGCTTAAAAATATACTAGCAAGAGGTCTGCTTGCCCTCTTTACTCTAAATTAAACTTGAGGCTTAATGATAAAATACATATAAACCAACTTGGTCACACACTTCTAAATAAGATAATGGATAAAATTAGTAGTGTTTGTACTATATTTTAAGTATTCAGTAAGGTAACAATACAAACACATCACAGATACAGAGAATTGGAGAAACACCAATTCTCTAGCTAGCCTCTGCATCACATGCAGTTGATATTACACTGCCACCTTCTGGACAAATGAGAAATACTCACTATATAATATAAACAGAAGAAAATGCTCAGAAACAGGTATTTTCATTTTTAATTTCCAAAGTTAGTAAAAGCCTCAAAAATTCCACAGTTTAGTTTTCTTTTAAGACCAGTGATCTCTCATCTTCAATCATACAGTTTAATGATAGCAGTTTTCATATGTATACATATTTCCTGACTTTCCTTATACCTGAATAGGTTTTAAAAAATTATCTCTTTGACACCATATATTTGATAAATAGTATACAATTAGCTTAAAACCACAGGACAAAATGAGTTTTTATGAGGTAGCAAAGGTCAAGAATGGGGAGAACTATCATTGCTCAAATAAATGTATTTATATCTCTAGTTTTACCTGAGCAACTTCATATGTAACTTGGCAATAATATATGATAGAAATCCCAACCTTCATTTTTCTATTCCAGCTTGTAAAACTGTTTGAATTATTTCTTACTTTATGAATGAACTATCATACTACATAGGGTTTCCTTAAATCAGCAAACATGCGCAAATACGTGATGACATCTTTCATCGTTCGTGCTAATCTAAGTTATAAAAATCCTTATACTCTCAAGTTGAGCTGAAGAATTTCTGTCAATAAGTGAATGTCAAAGTGTATGCTGTAAAACATACACTATAATGCAATTTCTATAACAGTGTGAGTATGATATTCACGCCAGAGTCCTAATTCAGAATGTATATTTATCTGTAACAAACATTCTCCAGGCTTCAGTTAAAATGAGAATGCTTTTAACTCACTTAACAAAATAAAGCAAAGACATTTGTGAAATATGATTTAGGTTTTATATCTTATATGTATGGACACCTTCTCTTGCCTTTTTTTTTTTTTTTTGGTCACCAATGTGCACTCAGATAAAAGAAAACATTAATGTGGATTAAGGTACTGAGAATTTATCAACATCAAACCACTAGTGTTTTGCCTTCTACCCTTCGGAACAACAGTCAATAGATCTAAATATTTTACTGCACCCTGGCCAATTCATTGTTTGATGTTTAAAAACTCACCCAGAATCAAAGAAAATTTATTAAATTTGAGCACCCAAATGAGATACTATTAGCTTTGAAAGTCAAGTTTAACTGCGATATTGATGATTCTCTTTTTTCTGTGACAAAATTCACTAGGGAAACCCTGGATGTCAAAGTACAAAAGCAGATTGCTAATATGGGCAAGAGGGGGCAGGGGGGAGGCTATGAGCAATGTAGGTATAATCCACAACACACTCCAAGCACTGGAGGTCCTTTAACCTGATTAATATCAGGCACCATACTTCATCTGTGAAGCCTGACATACAGGAACACTAAGCCACATTTTATATTCTCTAAATAAACTTTCTGAACAACATTAAGCCAGGGCATCTGGCATTTAAAACTGTGATTTATTGTCAAATTAACATTTTCACTACAACATTATTTAATTTGCCAAATGAAATAATTCTTTGTATTTGTATTAGATAGGGAAAAAACTCAAAATGCAGTTGTATTGCTAAACCTAATGATAGGCATCATAATTATAACATTATTTGAATAACATGCATGTGTTAAACTATCATTAAATTATAAATTATCTGTTGAATGTTGGCAGTGCCATCAAGAGACGGTGCCCCATGATATAATCTCACAAATATTTCTACTAAAATTTAAGAGTTTCTTCCCACTTTGAAATTAAATCAAAACTTTGAAAATAGGCATCTAAAATAGTCTCCACATATTTCAAGGAAAAGGATTTTTTTAAGTCTTGATAAAGGATTGACCAACAATTCTTTTATTTTAATGGAAAAAGGGAGTGAAAGCATCATGTTGAAAGAATACAAAACAGTGACACTAGGACAAGTGAAAATATAACGATGCAGCAAAGGGCAGCAAGGAAAGGTGACAGGGAACAGGAAAAAGAAAGGGCGAAAAGGGGAGACTTCAGAAAGAATGCAAAAGGCAAGTCTCAATATCAGTGTGTGAACAAGGATAAAGAGGGAAGAGATTCAACACAGAACAGTAAGTAAAAAGACTCTCACCTTATTTCATTAAATTAGTTCATAAGAAAAATAGAACAGCAGGCTGAGAACAAAGTGGCTAAGAGCAGAAAGGAGATAAGTGGGATTTCTTTAGGAAATGCTGCCCACTGGATAAAAAATGGTCTTTCAAAAGTGAGAATTTAAAGTAAATTTCTTTACTGTCAAAAAAATTTTGAAGTAACAATATTAGAACAATAAAATTATTTTTCTTCCTACTCTTCCTAGGGAAAAGTAGGTTCACCTTTTAAAATAAAGATTTTAGTGTGAATTCAGGATTAGAACAACCATCATCACCTGTCTATGGATTAAATTATAATTTCAAATTAATCTGAAATTATAATTTCAAAAGCCAACATTTAATTCTGCTACAGTACATCATTATTCATCCTATCATTCAGATGCTATACCCTTTTTACTCTGATTTATTTATATATATGAGCAATAAATATATATATATAATATTTTTCTACTTTAAAATGGCTAACAGTTCATTTTAACATATAATAAAATTTGTCAAAGAATTCTACAATATAAATCTCAACTGTAAAATTGTATACATTTTTATAACATTCTATAAAAACTGTGCAATTTCATAATATTTTGATAAAGAATAAAGAAAAGCATACCTATATTACTCCACCCTAAATTTTTGATTTTTAGAAAGAGCAGTTTACTTTCTCCCTTTTGTATTACATACTTTCAGAAAGCAGATATTTCTCAAAGATAATGTCATAATAAACAAGAAAAACAGAGGCATATAGCAAAAAAAAAAAAAAAAAGAAACTTTTTAAGAAGCCAAAACATCATTATGAAATATTTATTTTATTGTAACAATCCAGTTCCAGGTTTAAGTGATTCTTAAGATCCATACTGTACCGTTCCTATTCCTCTGATTAGCGTTTTCTCACAAGCCACCAATCTTTCCTAATCTTCTGTACTGCTACCAAAACACAAAAAACTATTTCTGCTAGATATATCAACTATGAAATTAAACTAGTCATTTTTAGAAAAACTGCTCAACTCTCAAAATATGAACCTGCATCTTTTATCATGCACAGTTATAAAGCCCTCTGCACGCAATGTTCCAATTAATTTTTTAAAAATTCATGAAATATGGTACTAGTTGTGTTTTTACCAATAGGATACCCAGGATGAAGCAGTAAGGGTTTTGATAAAAACTCAGATACATTTGAGAACACGTGTAAGAAGATGTACACAATGTCTGAATCTTGAAAGCCTGGGAAAAGCAACTGATAATCGGACTTTTATATCATACTCCTGACCTGCCTAAAACTTTATTAATTCCAATCTATTACGGCCCCCAATACTTCAAAATAAACCTTTTTAACCAGAGAGATTTCCGTCATATACAGATCCCAACAATATTTCCTGTAACTTCCACTTTTATCATCCTGTGTTCAGGTTTTACTATGCCTCCATTCCCTGCCTTCCTTTGTCCTACTTCCTCCTCTGTACTTCCTTCCACTTCCATTGATTCCTAATTGCTTTCCCTTCTCTCTTTATTCTATTTTTCACCTTATACACTAGAGCAGCCTAGGCATTATTTTTCACCCTATGCACTAGAGTGCAGAGTGCAGTTGGCACGCTACAGCCCAGGGACCAAATCCAGACCACCGCCTGTTGTTGTAAATAAAGTTTTATTGGAACACAGCCACACCCACTCACTTAGCTATTGTCTTTGGCTGCTTTCCTGCTACGAGGATAGAGTTGAATAGTTGAGACAGAGACCATATGGTCCACAAAGCCTAAAATATTTACTATCTGGCCCTTTACAGAAAATGTCGGCCATCCCCTGCCTCAGAGGTATAGAAGGAAAGACTATATTTTTCACCATCTATAGATTTTTTTTTAAATGACCACATCTCATCAGAGAATGTATGGAAAATTTCTAGTGAGTAAACCTTGTATCACTAACACAGGGTGCCATCTCACAAATACCTCTTGCTCCTTCTTTCAAGTTTTACATAGTCCAGTATACAACTTGACTGGGTCTAACTTTCCTGGCCCAATGACTGATCACCACTCTAATACCTAAACAACAGAAAATTTGGCTAAACAAGTAGTATAGGCATACTGGAGAGCCTTTTATAAATACAGAGAGAAGGGAATCTGCCGGAGTTAACTATATACTCTGCAATAACCCTAGCAGCAGAAAAAACCCTATGCATA